GGATCGATGCCTATGCACATGCGCGGACGTCCCGCTGGGGCAGGGCAGTCTGGTGCCATGCAGACTCGCTGCGAGCAGGACTTCCTGAGAAAGAGCACGTTGCTGATACGTTACGTGACTTTATAGCGCCATTAACACAGCAGTTAGCTCTTTGCACATGAACCTTTTATAAAATGCCACTGTCGTTCCAGGAGGTATGTAATAAAGACAAGAAATTTGGCACATCTGCACGCAAAAAATGTGAAGATGTCTACAAGTTCTGCACTTTGTAATGCAGAGTAGCTGGAGGGGGAGATAAACAAACTGAACTATTGAACCTTTACCCCAGCAAAAGATTTAAACATTTTTGATAAGTATGTGCCCAGGCATTTGGAATAGCAGCTTTTATATATAGTAGCTTTTTACCATTCTTTCTTAATGGCACAGTCTGTCATATAATCAACATAATTTAAATGGCACAGAAAGAATAGGTGCTTGATGTAGTACATGACAATCTCCTATTAAAATTCCCCAAATTCATTGCAATCACTAAAATGCATTACCAACCACAGCTTTTGCAAAGCTCGCTGGGGTCAGTCCCCCCAGTGTGGTTAGGCAAGGCCAGGCATGTAGCCCACTTGTTAAAATCCATAGGAAAGCGTGTGTGCAGTCACAGTCCACCCTGTGGCCCTGAACAACTGCACAGATTTAGGCAAAGCACTGATGTGGTCTGTGAACTATGCACATTTCCCACTTCCATTAAATCCAGGGATTGGGATGATTTCCAGAGGTACTCAACACTGCTACACTACCCTGCAGCCCTCTGAGCTTACAAACTTTGGCTAGATGTTATATACTACGATATAAATGATACAGTATTGTGTGCCTCAGACCTTGCTTGCCTTACATAACTCGCCAGGATCTTTCTTGTCAGTAATTGCCCACAAGCCTCCTCAGTTCTCACTCCGGCACATCTGCACTGCAGCCCGTGGGGAAGTTTGCACAGTGATTCTTGGTGCTTCCTTTGAATGCTCTTGACCACCAAAGCAGTCAACAAAAGAAGGGCCAAAGTTTTCTGAGCCTCAGCTACCCCACTAATTCGGGTTTTACATTTTTCAAACAGCATCCGTTTTATCTTTCCAATAGTCTAATACCATTCCAAAAGTTTGTGTTCTTTCCACGTTATTGCTTTTATTTTTTTCCAGCTATGCTATGAGGTAAAGGTAGCTAGCATCAAGTCCTGTTTGTGTGTTGTCATCCCATTTGGCACAGCTTTGGGAACAGAGTTTCTCTGTCCATCCCCCAGAGGCCAGAAGGGAGCCCAAAGCTCAGGGGTGTCCTCTGGGCCGCTGCTGTGGAACGGGACAGGTTAGTTCATTGGAGTCTGCATTGAAGCAACATTTCCAAGTTCAGACGCCCAGGTGTCACTCACAGTGTGTCACCACAGGTGCCTCATCTGCTGTGTCCCAAAACATGGTAGGTCTGGAGGGCGAGGGTGCTCCCACATGCTGCGTGTTGCGGGTGTGCTTCGTGGAGGGTCTCAGCTGGACCCTCTTGTCTGTAGGGCACTTCACACTCGCTGTTTCACCCCAGCAATTTTCCATTCTGTTCCAAAAACTAGATGCCTCTTTCAAACTGTCTGCTCGTTTTGGGCTGCAGGGACATGCAAAGGCAAATGATGGGAGCATCCGTGACAGGGAAGGGGTTGCATCCCTTGAGGAAACCTGTTCTGGAGGTGCTGTAGAGTTGTCCTCTGCAGCAAGGAGAGCCTGGGACCTGGGCCAGGCCAGCAGCAGGCGTGGAGAGGAGCTGGCGGCTGCGGCGGGCTCGGATACTGCTTCACCCAGGTCCATGTTTAGGGAGAAGTTGGAACACCAGAGCTGATGCACAATTCCCAGGGGGTGAATGTGAACCCTGCAGGGCTCTCGAGCCTTGTCTGCAAAGGGGGGTTTAGTTTTAAAAATTACATGACTCCTTGGCTAAAGGAGGAGCGAGTGTTTTAGCTGAAGATACAAGTGAGGATACTAATGGAATGGCTCGTGCCAGCTTTGCCGCTGAGCCAGGTCACTGCAGAGGCAGGTACGTGCTGCTGCTTCAGCGCGGCAGAACTCGGGTGCTCGCTGTGGGGCTCAGTGCAGCCACAGATGCTCTCCCGGAGACATTCCCGTTTAAAGGCCTCTCTCCATGGCACGTGTAAAACCGCCGTTCTCCAAAGCGCCAGGGAGGGCACGAGCGGCCCTCGCCTCTAGCTGCCCACCCAGGTGCTAGCAGCGACGCTGCCCACGGTCATACTTTGAAGTAGGATTTTGTAGACTGCGCTGATGTAAGGTATAGGCTGAGAGAAACCGTGTGAGGGGGGGAGCAAACAAACTGCTCACAATACCAGTAAAAGTGGAATTCTCATCAAAATAGCCTGATTACACTGCAGAAATCTTCTGGTTGTGATGTTACATTCACTTAACCAAGCACACGCTTGAGTTAAAGTTCTGCCTTGTACTGAAAACGTGGGGAAGATCTGAAACAGCACATTTACTACATTCTCATTAGTCAAAGCTTCTGAAGTCAAGATGAATATTAAAGTCATGGCAGAAATTATTTTTATTATTGGTAAGAGGATCATACAGCATTATGTGTTCATATTTGCAAGTTATTGCACCCTAGCTAGTATTCTCATTGCTGCCTTATGTTCTTTTGCTGCACTTGCCTTTCAAAACTGTGTGCACTGGTTATAAGGTTAATGTCAATAACTCAAACTCAAATTTTGAGCTCAAAAGCTTTGCAGTGACATTTCAGAGTGATTATGAGTGTCTCACTTGTTTTAGCATATAAACTTAATAATGCATGGAGTGATGTAATATTCTAGATATAATTAAGTTATATGCACAACCTTATAAATAGGGCACTTCTTTCGCAACACAAAATTAAAATATTCTTCACAACTTCACTGACACCATAGAGAAGTCATGAGTGTGATGGAGAAAATAATCTTTGCACTTTAAGCAAAATTTTCTCCATTTCTTTATCTTATAAGCAGTTCCCTTGACTTCAGCAATGATTCATTTACAGAGAAGTCAGGAAAGCTGTCCTTTTAACCCTTCTCCCTGAATATTTTCACTCTTTTCCATGACACAGAAACAGAAGTGCTACTAGAAAACGTCATTGCGCCATTTTCTTCTTATCCTTAAAGATACAGTGATGACAGTCAGTAACCTCATCTTCAGCAGTAATAATACTGACATTTTCATTGCTTAATGCTAGAGTTAAATGCTCATGCGATTGCACAAGGCACTTACAGTACTTGGCGTCAGCTATAGCAATTTCCTGTCCCCCCGTTACTGTCACATAACGCCAAGGAAGCCGTACTGCGGTAGCTCCCACTGGCCTTCCAGAATATGTTTCTATTTTCTTGCAATCTCTGTTCCTGGATTTCAGAATTTATTCAGAATTTCTGTTGTCAGAATAAGTAGCAGTATTAATAAATCAAATGTGCACTAAATAAAAAAGCAAATCTATTATTAAAAATGGATATTCTGAAGTATAACCATTTGAATCCTTTATCTAGAATATTGAAATCAAAACTCAAAAATTCTGAATTCAGTGTGAAGGAAGGCACCTTGCTTTGTAAATAAACAGAATTACTAATTTAGTGAATTTAGAATTTGATACCTTAATGTTTCAAAAACCACCATGCTCCTCTTGGCTACGTAGTTGCCATGAAGAATCCACAAGATGCAGTCACTTTATTTTTGTGTGGCCTACGGGGAACTGTAGGTTGTGAGCCCGTTGTTTCTGCAGGGCCATTAGCAAAGAATTGGTGCCATTCTCTATAGTCCAGCGGCCCAGACACCAGGGGATTTAAATATATCCTGTGGCAGGGTTAAAAAAGCCCCGCAGACGCGGGGTGCTCTGCGGCGTTGCTGTGTGCTCCTCGGGGGGCTCCGCGGCGGATCCTCCCGTGTGTCCGTGCGAGGCGAGCGGGCACTGGCACAGCCAGCGGCGCCCGGGCACAGCACGAGGGACAACCCCGGGTGCCAGGTTCACCCTCCCTTTCCTTTTTGGCACATACATTCCCTAAAGATACCACAGAGGTACGAGTTGAGCTGATGAGATCATACAGCCGGGTCATTGCTGTTGGTGAGGAACGGGCTGTCGGAGCCTGGGAGGTGCCTGCAACCCAAGCTAGGAAGATATTCCCTGCCAGGGGCCAGCCGGCCTCCTGCGTGCCGGCAGCGAGGCCCGGAGAGGGGCAGGACGGCCTCGCTGGAGCCGCTTCGTCCTCCCTCTCCCTGCAGAGCATGGCCCTGCGCCACGCCACC